GATATACATTTTTTAAAATAAAAAATTAAATTAAAAAAAACATGGAGCAAAAAGAAGTAGAAATTCATTTAATACCATTTTTGTAAATTAAAAACCTATGAAAAACAAAAAAAAATACATAAAGCACTATACATCTTTTTAGAATATAGACATATCCAAGAATCAGAAATTAAACACATTAGAAAGTGTGTCTATAAGGTGGAAGAAGAGATAGAAGTAAGAAGGGAGATATGGGAGGAAAAAAATGACACAAAAGAATAGCTTTATACCAGTTACTGCTAATAGTGTGTCAGAAATAAAACAGTATGGGGGACCTGGGTGGCTCAGTCGGCTAAGCGTCCGACTTCGGCTCAGGTCATGATCTTGCGGTTTGTGAGTTCGAGCCCCATGTTGGGCTCTGTGCTGACAGCTCAAAGCCTGTAGCCTGCTTGGGATTCGGTGTCTCCTTCTCTCTCTGCCCCTCCCCCACTTGTTCTCGGTCTCTCTCTATCAAAAGTAAATACATGTAAAAAAATTTTTTTAAAAAGAAATAAAACAGTATGGTAAAATCAATTCTCAAGAAAAAAAAAGAAGAATGAATGAATAAATGAGAAATGTTAAGAAAAGGAAGCAATACAAGCAAAAATCATAAGGAAGGAAAACAAAGGATATTTCATACTGAGGAAAGGAATAATTCACTGATGTCATGTTAATATAATAAATCCTCATGCACATGACAATATAACTTCAAAATATATAAAGCAAAAACTGATACACCTAAAAGGAGAAACTAACATATTGTCACTAATAATGAGAGAGTTTATTATACCTTCCAGAAGGCAAAATATCAAACAGAAAAAAAAAAGTAAGGAACAAGAATTAGAGAATTAATAAACTTGCATAGTCAGCTCTCTGATCCCAACAACCAGTATCCTTTAAAACATCCTTTAAAAACATACAGAACACTTCCAAAACAAAACAAAAAAACCTCCACATATTAGGTCAAAAGGGAAATCTCAGCACATTCCTAAGGATTTATATCGTTCAGAACATGTTCATTGAATAAAATTAGCAATCAACTGCAAAAAGACAACCAAAGAACAATCCAGGTACCCATAGGTTCAAAAATACATTTCTAAATAATTGGTGTAAATAATCTGACATTACATTTTTGGGGAACTGAATGACAAAGAAAGCACCCCATACCAAAACCTGGAGAATACAGAATAAACACTAAAATGGGGGGAGGGCAGTGAATCAACAAAGCAGAAATTAACGAAATAACCTTCCCCCCAAATAAGTAGGAAAGATTATCAGCAAACCAAAAGCTGTTTGTTTGTTTTTTTAAGACTGATAAAACTATAAAATTTGGGGCAATTGATCCAGAAAAATTAGAGAAGAAACAAATGAATATCAGGAAGACCGAATAAAATATACCTTCAGATGCAAATGAATCATAAAAAACATCATGCATAAAGTTATGCCAATGAATCTGAAGTCCTAGATAAAATATTGTTCTAGGCAAATATAAATTACAAACATTTATCCCAGGAAAAAGCAATAAATCTGAATAAACCAACATCCACAGAAGAAGTTGAAATCATAGAGACCTACCAAAAAGGCGTCATGCATGGATGATCTTAAGGTCAACTTCCCCCAAATGTTTCAAGAGCAGGTAACTCCAATATATCACAAGCCATTCCAGATTGCAGAATAAGGTAAATGATTTCCCATAAGAATAATGTAGATGGCAGAAAAACCATCTGATCACATTGATAAGTGCATAAAAAGCATTTGGTAATGGTCAACACCTGCTTTTTAAAAACCTACTAGCAAATCAGAAATAGAATTTGATAAAGGACTTCTACTCGAAATCTGAAAACACCATACCTCATAGTGAAGCCTTAGCGTTAATCCTTCAAAACTCTCGGACAACACAAGAATTGTCTATTATCACCACTACCAATAACATTGTATTGAAACTCTTCGCCAAAGGGGAAGGGGTGAGAAATGAGTTATAAAAGTTGGAAAGAACTAAACTGGCATTTTGTTACCCTAACAGGATCCTCTAGCCAGGAAAGTATGGAGAATTAGCTGTCTAGCTATTCTAAAACAAGTAAGAGTGAGTTCAACAAAGTAGCCAGATCCAAGATCAGCAGTAAAAATGCAAGAGTAGTAATTGATTAGGGGGGGAAAAAAAGATCCAAGTCATAAATAAATAAGTAAAAATAGTAAAGTCCCAGTGAGTGAACCAGAGAAACATGTACAAGATATCCCAGGAGAAAATCAAACCTATGTCTAAGATGGAAGGCTCAATATTACTAAATCACAAATTCTCCCCCAAATCAATAACTTATTCATTTACAATCCCAATCAAAATCCAAACCATCTGTTATGGAATTGACAAATTCCATCCCACTCCCCATTCCCACTGCAGGACCCACCAGGTTTAGAATCAAGTCAAGGCTCCTTGCTCACCCGAGTCTAGACATTCACTGGGAAACCACGTGTTCTGCTGCCCACCTGCCTCTCTGATTTGAACCCATAAGCAGTTGGTAAACAGAGTAACAATGTCGGCATGACACAAGCATGTTGGTTAATATGCAATTTTTCTCCGGGAAGTTAATATTTTGAAGCAATCAGTGACAAGCTTTCTCAGAGTTAAAAGGGAAGCCTTGGTGATCAAAGAAGATCTTCACACACACACACACACACACACACACACACACACACACAAAGCTAAAAATCTGCAGAACTATCTTCCTTTAGATCCACAGTGACTTGTTTTAGTGGTTTCAAGGATCATAATGCTTGCTACAATGTTATGGTATGTGGTAAAGCTGTGAATGCAGATGAAGAAACCACAATGATATTTTCTCATATTAAAATGACAGGTTGATGAAGGCAACACCTTAAATCAGATTTTTAATTTTGATGCAAATGGTTTCCATTAGAAATTAATATCTACATGTGAGATATATATATATATATATATATATATATATATATACACACACACAGACACACATATACATACACATACACACACACACTCATGCACACACAACAGGATATTACTCGGTGATCAAAAAGAATGAAATCCTGCCATTTGCAACAACATAGGTGGAACTAGAATGTATTATGCTAAGCGAAATAAGTCAGAGAAAGATAAATATCATATGGCTTCACTCATATGTGGAATTTAAGAATAACACAGATGAACATAGGGTAAGGGAAGGAAAAATAAGATAAAAAGAGAGAGGGAGGCAAAGCATAAGAGACTTTAAATACAGAGAACTGAGAGGTGTTGGGGGGGATGGGCTAAATGTGTGATGGGCATTAAGGAAGGCACTTATTGGGATGAGCATTGGGTGTTCTATATAAGTGATGAATCCCTGGGTTCTACTCCTGAAATCATTATTACACTATATGTTAACTAACTTGGATTTAAATAAAATTTAAAAATTAAAAAATAATAATAAAGCCAGAAAGTTTTCAAAGAAAGAAAAGGAAAGAAAAGAAAAGGAAATTAATATATCCAGACCAGCATCTCTGAGAAGGAAGCACAAGCCCCATACGATTGCAAAGAAGGCACTGAAGATGTTGCTAAGCGCAAACCTCCGTGGAATTTTAACTGTGCTAGTATTTCTTTGAGAATCATTATTGGTCTCGTAGCACTCTGACTATGAAGTTGCCAGTGTTTTGAGCAATCTAACCCTAGTTTTTTTTTTTTTTTCTTCTTCTTCTTCCCCATAAATTCTTGTTATGTTTAGTGAACTGTTTTGTAGAACTCCAGGGTTTTTCAGGAACGCATATATCACTCATGGCAGAACTGCCTATAACTCAGAATAAGGGGGGACTCTGTCTTCAAACAAGCATTCTTGATAGTTCCTATGTTTCCCTGATGGGTAGACAAGAGACCAGGTACCCACTTCTAAGAGTGGAACAACTTCCCAGGAGCAGGGGCGGGGTCTGGAACTTGGGAAGCAGAGCACCTCATGGTTCCTCTTTTATCTCCTCCCTCCAGACTTCTGGGCCACTCGGGAGAAACCACGTGAAAAGGCCCAGAATTTTGCCGTTTACAAGCTTACAGATCTTGAGCAAGTCACTGAACCTCTGCAGGACTCAATATCCTCATTCTTTAAATGGGAAGGCAGTGTTTTGTTTGTTTTTAAATCATGTTTGGTTTTAATTTTAAAACCTACCTTTGAGTCTTGCTTTTGCCATTTACAGTTCTGTGACCTTGGACAAGTGACTTTGCTTTTCAATGCATCATCTGTAAAATGGGGGCTTTGAGAGAATTTGATGATACCATGCAAAGCGCTTAGCACAAGATGCGCATTAAGCCCCAATAGATTGAAGTTCCTATTACGAGAGGCGGGGAGTTCTGACTGCTGAGGTGGAAGAAACCAGAGCTGGTGGGGAAAGACATGGCTGTGATTTCCCAACGGACAGTGAACACGTCCTGCCAGCCCCATCTTCCCTGCTGAGGCCTCGCCATCAGCCGAATCCCCTAGGTGGCAGGAGCCACCAACCTTTCTCCAACGTTTGAGGCCGCCTCCCGCGGCGCTTGTCCCGGAACGGACTACATTTCCCGGCGTGCACTTCGGGTCGGGCCCGAGGGGACTAGCAGCCAAGGGGACCGTGCTCCAGCCGCGTTAGAGGCTGGAGCCAGTAACCACCACTCACGCAGCTCCTCTATTTCGCTTTGCGAAGCCGGTCCGCCACCGTCAACCCCATCTTGAGCCGCGGACCCGCAGGGTCTGTGAGGAGCGCTTGGCCCCCGCCTCCTTCCCTCCTCCCGGCATCTGGCCCACCGGGTCCCAGGGAGGGTCCGAGGCCAAGCTTATCTCCTCGGGAGGATTCCTTCGGCCTCGTGGGGTCCCCACTGCGGCCCGAGGCTGGCAGCGGGGCTCTGGGAGCTAGGGGAACAGCCTCGAGGCCGCGCAGCCGGAGACTACAACTCCCAGGCGGCATCGCGGCGGCGGCGGCGGCGGCGAGCACGTCACTCAGGCACCGCCGGCGGCCCCGGGAAGCGGCGCGGGCGGGGGCAGGGCTGGGGCCGACCGGGAGGCAGGTGCTGAGGATGGGGGCAGCCCGGCCGCCCCGCGCGTGAGAAGGCCGAGGGGCGCGCCACCCCATCCCGGGGCGGGCGCCCCCGGGGCCCCGCCACCCCCACCCCGCCCGGCGGTCGTGGCCCGGGATGCGGAGCCGGGGGCCGCCGGTGGAGCTGCGCGGGGTGAGAGGCGTGGGGAAGGGGGCTGCCTGCTTCCCTCACCCTCGTCCCCCACCGGCGGGCCCCGGCAGGAATTGGGGAGCCGCGCGGCCAGGCCCGCTTAGCGCCCTGACATTTGGGGGAGACAGGTGAACCCGCCACCCTATCCGCACCCCGCCCCGCCTGGGCAGCTGAATCAGAGGGGACGACCCTGCCCTTTTAAGGAGGCTTTTTCTTGCTCCTGCGGAGGGCCCCCGCCCCCAGCCATGGCCTCCAGGAGCCCCCTAGAACCCGCAGGGACTGCCCCCCATCCTGGCCGCCGGGGCCCGCCCTCTGCATCCCGCGGGCAGCCTGTGTGAAGCGGCCTCCCGCAGCCCCCGGCCCCTCCCCCATGGAGGAGGAGGAGGGGGGGACGGCCAAGGAGTGGGGCACGACCCCCACGGGGCCCGTCTGGACCGCGGTGTTCGACTACGAGGCGGCGGGCGAGGAGGAGCTGACCCTGCGGAGGGGCGACCGCGTCCAGGTGCTTTCCCAGGACTGTGCGGTGTCGGGCGACGAGGGCTGGTGGACCGGGCAGCTACCCAGCGGCCGTGTGGGCGTTTTCCCCAGCAACTACGTAGCCCCTGGCGCACCCGCCGCGCCCGCGGGCCTCCAGCTGCCCCAGGAGATCCCCTTCCACGAGCTGCAGCTAGAAGAGATCATCGGTGTAGGGGGCTTTGGCAAGGTCTACCGGGCCCTATGGCGCGGCGAGGAGGTGGCTGTCAAGGCCGCCCGGCTGGACCCTGAGCGGGACCCGGCAGTGACAGCAGAGCAGGTGCGCCAGGAGGCCAGGCTCTTCGGAGCCCTGAAGCACCCCAACATCATTGCCCTCAGAGGCGCCTGCCTCAGCCCCCCACACCTCTGCCTGGTGATGGAGTATGCCAGGGGGGGCGCACTGAGCAGGGTGCTGGCAGGCCGCCGGGTGCCCCCTCATGTGCTGGTCAACTGGGCTGTGCAGGTGGCCCGGGGCATGAACTACCTACACAATGATGCCCCTGTGCCCATCATCCACCGGGACCTCAAGTCCATCAACAGTAAGTGGTGTCCTCCCCCCAAAACTTGCTTCCACCGAATCTTAGGAGGTCAAGCCTAGGTGGTGGGAAATGGGGACACCAGAAGATATTGCCTAGGGCAAGAAGGGGCAGCGGTATACCTTCCGGGCCAAGTGAGGGAGGAAAAGGAGGCTTGGAAAGGTTGAAGGACCGCCTGTCTCCCAGGCTAAGAGTCACAGTAGCTTAATAAATATGTATCCATGAACACTGTGACAGGCCCTGAACTCCTAGCATGGACAGCACAGGGCCTGCCCTCATGGCACTCACTGTCCAGCCATGATGCCAGGGTCCACCGGGCAGAGACCGAAAGAATCTAGCCTGGAGTCAGAGTTTCTCAACCTTGGCACTATTTACATTTGGGGCTGGATCATTGTAGGAGGCAGTTCTCTTGTGGGTTGTTTAGCAGCATCCGTGGCTTCTAGCTGGTAGATGCCATTAACATTCTCCACCAAAGACCAAAACTTGTCTCCAGACATTGGCAAGTGTCTCCTCAGGGTTGAGAACCACTTCCTGGAGTCCTCTCAGGCCTCTGCCCCAGCCAGAGTGAGGGAGGAGGGAAAGGGATGTGCCTTATGTAAAAGCTTCCAGGCTGCCTGGCTTATCACAGGCTCTCAAAACTTGATTGGTTGGTCGAATGGGGACTGGGGCCAGCAGGAAGAGAAAGCTCCCCAGGACCCACCTCTAGATCAAGGAGCTTCTCATGATGTCAGCACGTATTAGTTGAGCACCTATTAACAGGAGCCCAACAGGGACCAAGACCGCAGTGGCCTCACCCATTTCCGGAGCGCCTGTTGTGTGCCACACCCAGTCCTGCGTCCTAAGGATATAGCGGGGGAAGAATCCTACCTTCCTGGCTCTCCCAAGCTTCCTCTACCCCATCTCACTCCCTTTCATTTCTGCATGCATCTATTCTTTCATTTTTCATTTGGTGTTTGCTGGGCCAAGTCACGTGCTAAGGAGAGGGATCAACAGTGAATGAGGCCAGCATGTTCCCTGCCCTCCCTGGAAATGTGAGGATTTCCCCTTTGTTCTCACATTTGGACTCCCACATCTCTTCTGATTCCTGTCAGTTCCACACCCTGAAATGTGTTTGAATCCATCCCGCTATTTCTGCAATGTTGCTATGCAGAGCCACGACCACTGCGAGCCCCTAGAACAGAGGGAGTGGTCTTCCTTACCTTCCAGGCCTTACACTTGTACACCAACCGAGCTGCCAGGTGCTCAAGGTGTGCCAAGCCCTGTGGCGGGGCCAGGGAATTGAGCAAAGACAGACACAGAGGTTCCTGCCTCCCTGATGCTCAGACTCCTCTGACATGCTGGGCAAATAGAGGCAGGACCACCAGCATGCTCCCCTTGAAGGCTGGGGTGCCTTCCTGGCTTTTCCTCACCCCTCTGAGTCACAGCCTGAAGGTGGGGTGTAAGGACATGCCCCCAGGCCTCTAGGTTTTCCTGTAGCCAGTGCCACCTGGATATGGTGTTGTTGGGGCTCCTTAGGCCAGGGCTTCCTGCTCAGCCAATGGGACAAGTCCATGCCCAGGACAGGTCACAGGGCCTCCACAGCACAGCTTCCTCCATTCATCTTTCCCTAGGAGCCCCTTGTCTGGTGTCGCTCGTACATTGGTTCATTCAACCGATAATTCTGAAGCAAAATTAAATATACTAGGCCCTATCTTAAGCGCTGGGATTACAGAAGTGACCCAGGCAAGATCTCCCCACGTAGAAGTTATGGTCTAGTAAACAGAAGTAGATGACTGATATTTAGGTAGGTAGGTAGGTAGGTAGGTAGGTAGGTAGGTAGATAAAATTTCCAGATAAGATCAGGGGGTTCTGAAGAAAATAAAACAGGCAGAAGGACCTGTTTTATTTTCTTCAGAACCCAAAAAATTTTTTTTTCAACGTTTATTTATTTTTGGGACAGAGAGAGACAGAGCATGAACAGGGAAGGGGCAGAGAGAGAGGGAGACACAGAATCAGAAACAGGCTCCAGGCTCCGAGCCATCAGCCCAGAGCCTGACGCGGGGCTCGAACTCACGGACCGTGAGATCGTGACCTGGCTGAAGTCGGACGCTTAACCGAGTGCGCCACCCAGGCGCCCCCAGAAGGAGCTCTTTGAATCAGATGGTCAGGGAAGGCAATACTGGAGCAGGGACCTGAACAAAGAGAACCCAGCCTTGCAAAGGTCTGGGCAGAGCAAAGGTCCTGAGGTGGAAATGAGCATGCCTTGCTGGAGAAACAGCCAGGAGACCAGAGGGGTTGGAAGAGGAGGAATGAGGGAGGGGTAGAAGATGAGGTCAGAAAGGTAGGCAGGGCCCAGATCATAATGACCTTGGAGGCCGTGATGAGGATTTGGGGTTTTGTTTTGTTTCGTTTTTAACGTAGTGGAAGCCATCAGAAGATTTTAAGCAAGGGATGATGCAGAAATGAAATGTAAGACCATAGTGTGTTCCGTCTGTCACAGGGTCACCCCACCAACAGAAGAGGTGGGGACCCAAGAAGGGAAGCATGGAGTCACATGCTAGAGAGTCGAGGGAGGCTTCTGGGCTTTGATGATAGTAGAATTAGCTCACTGTTGTTATGACAGGAGAAGTCACCAGGAATGGTCAAAGATCTGGGGGGAGAAGTAAAGGCCAACTATGGCCACATCACACACTAATAATAATAGCTAACATTTTTAAAGGGCCTACTGGTGCTTCACCTTACTACAACCCTATAAGGTAAATACTATTATCATCCCCACTTAACAGAGGAGAAATCCTAGCGTTAAGAAGAATAAATCATACAAGGTTATGCAGCTGATAAGTGGCAGAGCTGGGATTCATACCCAGGCAGGCCTGTACACTTTGGGGCCTGTTTGATACATGCTGGTCGAATATCATAGCAGTTAAGAGATTGGGCTCTAATGACAGATGTAGGTCAGGTCTTTGCCCCACAGTTTTCTAGCTATACACTCTTGGCCAAGGGACTTCATCTCTTTGAGCCTCAGTTTGCCAGTCGATAAAATGGGTTGCTTTCTAGATAATCCATGTAAAGGCCTAGCACAGTGCCTGCCATATCATAGGCCGCTGATAAACACCAGCCATGATTATAATTGTTGTTAGTAATAGCCCTAGACAGCAAGTTGGAACCATTCAGTATGCTTGGGGGATATAGCCGTCAGACTTTGTCACAGTAATGCTGCGTAGCAAACCACCCCCAAAACTCAGGGTCTTAAAACTTGATGTCATTTATTGCTGCTTACACACACGTGGGCCTGCTGGAGCGTGAGCTGACTTAGGCGGGCCTCAGCAGGGAAGACTTTACTCCAAGTACCTCCCATCTACCTTGGACCAGCAGGCTGGCCGAGGCATGGTCTTGTGGTGATGGCAGGCAGATAGGTGAGGCCTCTTAAGGCCTAGGCTTGGAAATGGCATTCTGTCACTTCTGCCTCGTTCTGTTGACCAAAACAAGTCCTAGGGCCAACCCAAGGTAAAGGAGGAGGAAATAAACTCTTCCCCTTCCGTGGAAAGGAGTGCAGAGTCAGGTGGTGAAGAAGGTGATGCAGAAAGGGGTAGATCTGGGGCCCTGAATGCAGTCTGCCACAGGGGGTGACAAAGGCAAAGGAGAACCACGTTCATCCCTTCTGCTCAGAGTCTAGTTCCCACCTCACTGGTGGCCAGGAATTCAAGGCCTGAACAAAGGAGAACCAAGGCTTTGGGCTTTGGCTACCCACCTTTCATGGAGCTCCCCAGAGCCCAGGTTAGAATCAGGAGGGAAGTAGACCCAGAGGAAGCTCCTCCTCCTTCATGGGAGCTTGGGGCAGGGATCCGACTGGCATGGAAGCGTCCGTGATATTCCAGACCAGGAAAGGACCTGCTGCAGAGGGGGGTAACTCATGGTTACTCATGGTTAGAGGGAGGGAACAAGTAGGAGATTTCAGCTGAGGCAGGCGGGCAGGACACTCAGGTCTGCAGCCCAGAAGGTTGGGGTGACCCATCTTTCTTCCTGCCCCACAGTTCTTATTCTGGAGGCCATCGAGAACCACAACCTCGCAGACACGGTGCTCAAGATCACGGACTTCGGCCTCGCCCGCGAGTGGCACAAGACCACCAAGATGAGCGCTGCAGGGACTTATGCCTGGATGGCTCCGGAGGTTATCCGTCTCTCCCTCTTCTCCAAAAGCAGTGATGTCTGGAGGTGCTGATGGTGGGGCTGGGGAATCCGGAAATGGGGGAGGGGAGGAGGGTGTTTCAGAGTGGGAGGGACAGTCTCCTGAGGAAGCTAGGATCCAGGCCTGACAGAGAGGCCCCCTGGCAAGGTCAGACCATCAAAGCACCAAAGCAGGTGTCTGCTTGCTGAAGTGGCAGCTGAGAAGGACTTGGATTCGAGTGGAAAATTACGAAGATATAGAAATAGGATGTCAACACCAAGGGCCCCTCAGACACCATCCAGTACACCACCCCACTTGTCAATAGGAAATTGAGGCCTTTGGAGGCTTCCTTCCTTCCTTCCTTCCTTCCTTCCTTCCTTCCTTCCTTCCTTCCTGCCATCCATCCATCCATCCATCCATCCATCCATCAGCACTGGGTGCTAGGGATACTGCAGTAAAACAAATCCTGCCCCCCCTCCCCGCCCACCGGACGAGTAAACAAAAACCCCCAACCCCCCCCGGCGGGGGGGGGGGGGGAGCTGGTTACAACTTTTTAACAACAAGTTAAAAAGTTGTAAAATAATTTTCCAAAGATAAAGAGTTAATCCACCAGAACAAAGCATGAGATAGTATGAAGAGCCGGGAGGTAAATCGAAAGCACTCTGAGGGCTGGAGGATGATGTTAGGGAAGGCTTTTCTGAGAAATGACACTTGAGCTGAGTTTTGGATGATGATAAGAAGGAGCCACCCATGCAAAGTATGGGGGAAGAAGCTTCCCAGGCAGAGGGGACAGTGCCCACAAAGGCGGTCCTGACGTGAGAACGAGCTTGGTCTATTCCAGACACAGCCGTGAGGCCAGGTGACTGGAGCAGAGGAGGCAAGGAGGAAGGTGGTAGAAAATGACATAGGAGAGAGAGCGGGGAACCCCGCAGATGAGGGACCGGACGCCAGGCTTTATTCTAAGTGCAGCGGAAAGCCATTAGGAGCATTTATGAATGGCACAATCTGGTTTAGCATTGCAAGGCTCCCTCAGCTATAGGATGCAGAATGGATTGTGGGGGACAGGAGTGGGGGCAGGAGGCCCACGAGGAGGCTGCTGCCATCACCAGTGAGACTTGATGGCGACAGCAGATACTCTTCAGCCTGGGGCCTTCTACTGGGAGGGAGCCAAACCCAGGTCAGTCCCCAGCTAAGGCTCCAGATGGACCAAGTAGCAAAGTCATGGCTTCTGGGCAGACAAATCAGACAGGAAGTCTCCACTAGAGCAGTGCAGCTCTTTGGGGAAGGCTCTAACTGGCTTTCCATTAGGCATTCATTTGTGGTACCAAACATTGCACAGAGCCATATCTCCGTGGCAAGGAGCAGAAAATCCCCAAATAAAAACAAGCCTGAAGTTTCTGCTCTCCTGTAAAGCCCAGGACTGATGTGCTCCCGGTGACAGGAATTCAGGGTCCTATGTCAGGGTTCCTCAACAGGGGCGTCACTGACATAGAGCAAGGTAATTCTTTCTTGTGTGGTACTGCCGTGTATTTTTTAGGATGTGGTTCCCAGCCACCAAACATCATAGCGCTCCCCGGTCCTTGTGACAATCAAAACAGCCTCACAGGTTTCCAGCAACACAGGTGAGGTGGAGGGTTCACACCACCCCCAGTTGAAAGCCATTATTATTTTCTTCCACCTTGTGTGGTCTCCATTCCAAAGCTCATTTCATCATCCAAAACGGCTGCTTGAGCTCCGGCTTTTATGTCCACATCACAGCAAGCAGGCAGGAAAAGAGGAAAGGACACCAATTCTCCTTAAGGACTCTAAACTTCTAAACTTCGGGACTCTGAGGACTCTCTTTAACTTCCTGGAAGTTAGTTGCATATTACACGTCCTCCCGCACCCCACTGGCCAGAACCATCGCCATATGGGCATGCTTAGCTGCAAAGGAGGATGGGAAATGATTTCAGGCAGCAGATGCCCAGCTCACATTCACCAGTGCTGGCACTGAGAATGACAGGGAGGCCGTCAGCCGTAGGAGGGCAGGGGTGGTGTCCATCTTGGTCCAGTGCCCAGAATAGTGTCTGGCACACAGCAGACATTTATATGTCAAATGCATGCGTGGATGTGGGGGAGCTCGGGGACTCACTGCATGCTGGACACCGCACAAAATGGTGTTCAGTTTACTGGAGAAGGTGGACCGGCAGGTGACCATAGCACAGTGGTGCGTGCTCCAGTGTTGTGTATCCATCAAGGACACCGTCATGGGAATCAAGCAGGCCTGAGCCCAAGTGTGGACTGAGACCAGTCCGCTTACTAGCTGTGTGACATTGAGGCAGACAGTTTAACCTCTCTGTGCCTGCACCTGTCCCCCGGCTAAAACGGGGGTCATACCAATACCTTCTGCCTTACAGGGCTGTTGTGAGGATTACTGAGAGCGCCTAGCACAGTGCTGGCCTGGAGTAAGTGCTTTATAAATGTTAAATAGTGTTAACTTGTGTTTAGAGGTAAGTGCTGAGGGTTCTGTGGGAACACAGAGGAGGGGGTCTCTCATCTAGCTTTGGAGGCTGTGGAATCAAGGAAGCCTCCCTGGGAGAGGGGATACCTGAGTTTTGACTGAAAGAACAGTTACACACAGGGAAGGATGTTCTTGATGAAGGAGACAGCATGTGCAAAGCCAGAGGTTAGGAAGAACAGGGTTTAGGGCTTGTTCAACTTGTTCAGCGAAGCTGGGGTTGGTACAGGGGCAAGAGGGCTTAGAGGCAAAGCTGCAGGGGACATCAAAGGTCAGGGCTAAGAAAAGTGGCTTTGTCCAGGGGGTACAGGTGAGACACTGAAAGTTTTCAGACAGGGGTGAGGGAAGAGAGGCAGAGCAAAGGCAAGACATCAGACAGCCAACCCCACCACATCTATTTGAGATCAGGCCAGCGGAGGTCAATCATGTTCTCGTGGCCTCATCAACCAGCGCCGGATGTGGGGGTGAGGGAGGCCCACCACGGGACCGGAGGCAGGGATGGGGTGTAGGTGAGCATGGGGGTGGGCTGCGGCATCACCCTCCCTCTTCCCCACCTGCAGCTTCGGGGTGCTGCTCTGGGAGCTGCTGACGGGTGAGGTCCCCTACCGTGAAATCGACGCCTTGGCCGTGGCATATGGCGTGGCTATGAACAAGCTGACGCTGCCCATCCCCTCCACGTGCCCCGAGCCCTTTGCCCGCCTACTGGAGGGTGAGCCAGGGCCCTGTGGAGATAGGCTCAGCTTGGGTGGCAGGGGCCCTCGGGCCATACCTCACCCCTTCACATCCATCCATACCGGTGGGCCCAGGAGTGAGGGAGAAGGGGCTGCAACCATTGGACCACAAACTGTCTCCCCTACAGTTGGCTCTGTGTCCCCCAAACTGTTGTTCCAGCCAGGCCCACAGCCCTTGAGGGCACCTGTTAGCATTTGCTGGCCCTGGGATTCTTCCCTGATCCTTGATTCTGCCACAAGTGAGGGAGCAGAAGCCAGGTTTCACTGTAATGTTGCCAGGAATTTGGCTTTGAATTCCTTCCCTCAGTTCCATGGAAGTTGTTTGTCCACAGTCCCCTGAAGTCCTGTCTTCCACAAAGCAGGGTGATGCCCTAGAGCATGGCCACTGACCTCTCCACCCCCACTGCTGTCCCCCCCACCCCCACCCCAGAATGCTGGGACCCAGACCCCCATGGGCGGCCAGATTTCGGCAGTATCTTGAAGCAGCTTGAAGTCATCGAGCAGTCAGCCCTATTCCAGATGCCACTGGAGTCCTTCCACTCGCTACAGGAAGACTGGAAGCTGGAAATTCAGCACATGTTTGATGACCTCCGGACCAAAGAGAAGGTGAAGGCAGGGGGCACAGTGGGAGGGATGGAGCAAGACCCCTGCATTTCTGATGCCTTTGGTGGGGCAGAGTCCCTTCCCCTGAGCCCCAGTCTTTGGGTCCATGCAGAGCTAAAGGGGCCTTTTTTGCGTATTAAGAAAGGGGCCTGTTGGCAGATTAATAAGAAAAAGGCACCCTGCACTGATGCTCTTACAAGTGATACTGCCTGATGTCTGGGATTGGTTTAAAAAATTTTTTTAATTTTTTAAGTTTATTTACAAACTGCGTGCAAAGAGAGCACGCAGGGGAGGGGCAGAGAGAGAGGGAGAGAGAGCATATCCCAAGCAGGTTCCGCACTGTCAGACTCTGCACTGTCTGCACGGAGCCTGACACAGGGCCTGAACCCACGAACTGTGAGATCATGGCCTAAGCCAAAATCAAGGGTCAGATGCTTAACTGACTGAGCCACCCAGGCACCCCTAAATTTTTTTTAATGTCTTATTTATTTTTGGCAGACAGAGTACAAGCAAGGGAGGGACAGAGAGAGAGGGAGACACAGAATCTGAAGGAAGCTCTGTCTGCACAGAGCCAGATGCCGGGCTGTAACTTGTGAACTGTGAGATCATGACCTGAGCCGAACTCAGACACTTAACTGACTGAGCCACCCAGGCACCCCTGAGATTGGTTTTAAAACACAGCAGCAAAAATGGGAGGGAGGGAGAGAGGGAGGAGACAAGGAAGAAGATACATGAAAAAAGGTTTGCTAAGTAAAAAGAGTTGTTTAGGTGGAATGATGAGAATTGGGGGCACTATTCTGTCTCTGCTTTGTGGATGTTTGAAGTTTTCCAAATTGAAGAGTCAAAAACTTAAAGGTGAAAACTAAAACCACCCCTTTCTTTGGGCTAATACAGCCTGGAGCACCGGCACCCAGCTTGGCTGGTGAAGAGTGAGTTGGATTGTGCCCCCAATTTGCCCCTTAGCAGGACGCCCTTGTGCTGTGCCCCAAGCAGACCCAGTAGCCCCCAGGTCCATCCCCAAGCGGCTGACAGGTGAGCCCCTCACCCCATCTTCTCTCCAGGAACTCCGGAGCCGTGAGGAGGAGCTGCTGCGGGCGGCCCAGGAGCAGCGCTTCCAGGAGGAGCAGCTGCGGCGGCGGGAGCAGGAGCTGGCCGAGCGCGAGATGGACATCGTGGAGCGTGAGCTGCACCTGCTCATGTGCCAGCTGAGCCAGGAGAAGCCCAGGGTCCGCAAACGCAAGGGCAACTTCAAGCGCAGCCGCCTGCTCAAGCTGCGGGAAGGCGGCAGCCACATCAGCCTGCCCTCCGGTACCGCCCACACGCCTTACGCGGCCCCCAGGGGCTGCTGGGAGCATTCCTAACACGGGGTTTACCTCCTCCTCCCATTTTTTTGAAAACTTTTCTATTGCTGAATGTATCACACATGTGGAAAGGGGCCAGAAACCCGTCTAGCTTACTGAGTTAGTATAATCACCCCCACCCAAGCAGAGAGAACCCACAGCCACCCCACATGCCCCGCCACGCGATCCCTCCCAGCACAAACCCCCGGCTGCCCGCCAAAAATCAGGGCATTCACGTCCTTACTTTTTAAAAATTGTTATTGTTTTGTCTTCTATTTTTTTTAATCTTTTAATCAGCTTTTCTTCCCCCTTGCATCGTTTATTCTGCAGCACTTCCCACAGTCTGGAGGCTGCTGCTTGCGTCTCCCCAGTATGACCTACCTTGTCCTCTGTCCCCTAAATTTCCTATTAACTGGTATTAAGTTAAACTATGTGAAACTGCTGATGTCCGGCCCTTTTTGACCAAAACCAAAACAAGTTTCATGTGGATCAACCCAATAGGTTTGTCTCAAGGCATAATCAGTTTCAAGTTCGCGTTGGGTCTCTTCCCCACCCCCACCCCCCAAAGATTGCTTCTTAGGTAACAAGACCCCGCTCACCCATCATAAGACACATGATGTCTGCTCAACCCTCTCTTTGTAATGTTATAAGCCATCATGCAGTGACCAGCACAGCACTGGCCAACAGATATCTAATGCAAGCCACATGGCTAATTTTAAATCTAGTAGCCACCTCCAAAAAAAAAAAAAAAACAAATGGAAAAGGGAAAAAATGGAAAAGAAACAGGTGAAATTGACTTTAACAATATATTTTATTTAGCCTGATATATCCAAAATGCTACAGTGTCACATGTATCAATACAAGAAAAATTGTTAGAGATTTTTAACCTCTTTTTTTCACGCCCAATCTTTGAAATCCAGCGTATATGTTATGGTTACAGTGTACCTTGGTCCAGATGCTTAATTTTCCTCAAAAATACTTGACCTGTATTTGGGTTTCGTGAAATTTATAGTTGAAAAAAAGTTGATTCACATCCCCAAGATTTGCATGCTTAAATGTTTTCAATAACCGAACTGAGGATCCATTTTTAAGTTTAAATTTAAATTTAAATATTTATATTTAAATATTGTAAATTTATAATATAATATATTTATATATATATTTATATATTTATTTAAATATAAATAATATAATTTATAATATAAATATAAATATTTAAAATTTAAATTTTAAGTTTAAATTTAGATTAATTGCGACTACACAGATAGGTTCAAACTCTGCAGCGGCTCAGATGCAGTGGCCACACTGCAAGTGCTCAGTGGCCACTTGTGGCTAATAGCTGCCACGCTGGACACTTAGGCCTAGATCTGTAGTCAATCCTTAGTTAATTAAGGACCCCATTAGGATCCTTCCTCCCCAATTCAAGCATGCGCCCGAGGTCTCTGGAGGGCTCATCACGGTTACATGGCTGTGCTTCACCCCAGAGCTGCTGATTCAGAGGGCCTGAGAGTGAGTGCTGCCCCTGAGGTTTGCAGTTGACGTGGATGCCGCCACTCTGGAGACCATAGTTTGCGAACCCCCGTTTAAGGAATGAAAACAGTGGCGTTCCATTCTGGCATTCCTTCTATCCCACAAAGGGAACTTCTCCAGTTACCCATGGAGCATCTTGCTCAGGAAAGTCTCTTTCTTTCCACAGGCTTCGAGCATAAGATCACAGTCCAAGCCTCTCCAACCCTGGACAAGCGGAAAGGATCCGACGGGGCCAGCCCCCCTGCAAGCCCCAGCATCATCCCCCGGCTGAGGGCCATTCGCCGTGAGTATCTCCCAAGGCCCTGACCAGTCAGTAGTCCACAACGTTCTGTGAACATTTACTGGGCACGGAGCTGGAGGAACAACAGGGACAAGACAGGCGGGGTCCCCTCCCTCATTCTCATCAGGGGTCAACAGACACTAAAGTGGTACATATACTATAGTGATAAGCTCTACAAAGGAAAGCAGGGAAGGGAAATAAAAGAGGAGAGGTGCTGTTTTACATCAGGAAGGCCTGTGTAGGGAGCTGGGGTTTGAGCAGGGACCCGGGTGGTAAGAAGGAGCGAGGAGGGTCAAGATCCGAAAGAAGCGTGTCCCCGCAGGAGGGAACAGCAAGGGCCAAGGCCAGGGGTGGGAATAAGCAAGGCATGTGTATGGTCCTGGGAGGCCAGCTCGATCGGACTGGAGTGAATGGCAGGGAGAGGAGTGGGTTTGTGGTCAAGGTTGCAGGGGGCCAGATCTTGCTGGGCCTAGAGAACCGGGCTCGCTAAGGAACCTGAACTGGATTTTATTCTAAATGCGGTAGGGGCCGTGAGCCGGGCAGTAATGTGATAAAACGCACCTTGTCCCTCCGGCTGCTGTGAAGGGTGTGGACTGTGGGAGGCTGGAGCGATAGGGGAAGACAGGAGACAAGGGGAGCGGACCGGACTGGGGCTCTGGGCGGGAGACGGGGCTACGCGGCAGAGGCACAGCCAGCCCGGTTTGCTGATGGGCAGGATACGAGGCTGATCCCCTCAAATCTGTTCTGCCCCATCGGTCACCCCTGGCTTTGCCCCACATATCACCCCCTTCACACCTCTGTCGGGACCCCTGCTTGTACCAGGCCCCAGAGGTCATTCTCATGGGGACACCAACAAAGACAATGACCATATGGTGACAGTACTAATGTCAGGGTACTTTCAAAGTGTGGAAATGAGAGCAGTAGACTCTCCAGGGAACAGACTCCTTCAGAGCTGGAGGCTTGAAGGGAAAACTGGCAACGAGGCTGGGAAAGGGACTGAAAGGAACAGAGTTCCAGGTGAAGGGAACAGCCTGTGCAAAGGCATGGAGGTGTGGAAACACCCACCTGGGAAATGATAGACATGGGGTCCCAGTCAAGGCACCCATTGCCCTCTGCCTGCATACCCAGACTCCATTTCCTCTCTCTCCTCCTTTTCTCCCTCCCTCCACACCAGCCCCACAGGCCTCCTGGCTGCTCTAAACACTCTAGGTATGGCCAGCCACAGGGCCTTGGCATAAGCTATTCCCTCTGCCTGAAATGCTCTTCTCCCTTGTATCCACTTGACTCACCCCCTCACCTCCTTCGCATCTTTGCTCAGATTCTTCCTTGTCAAACATGACTTTTCCTACCTCTCAGACTCCTTTCCTGCTCCGTCTCCCTCACAGCACTTACCGCCTGTCAACTCCCTACACGAATTACTCACCTAGTATGATTCTTGTTGGTCATCTGTCTTCACCCCTAAAATGTAAACTCCCAAGAGCAGGGGGTTTTGTCAGCTTTGTCCACTACTGTCTTCTCAGCACCTCCCATGGGGCTTGGCATATGGCAGGTGCTCAGCAGACATGTGGGAATGAATAGACGGCTGATGGGCTTGGCTGTGAGGAGTGACGGGAGACAAGGCTGAGGGAAGGCAGGGAAGTACACGCAGAGCCTCTACTGCCAGGCTGAGGAGCTAGGACCTTGTCCTGACAGCAGTAGGGAGCTATGGAAGGATTTAGAAAAGGGAAGGGTTGAAGATCCCTTGGACTTCTGGTGGACAGTGGATGTGGGGGGGGGGGGGGGGGGCCCCCCGGGGGGACAGACTGTCCAACACCCAGTAACCAAGTGGCTTTTCTTGGCCCAGTGACTCCCGTGGATGGCGGTGGCAGCAGCGGTGGTGGCAGCGGTGGTGGCAGTGGGACATGGGGCCGCAGCGGGCCCCCAAAGAAGGAAGAGCTGGTTGGAGGCAAGAAGAAGGGCCGGACCTGGGGCCCCAGCTCCACCCTGCAAAAGGAGCGGGCTGGAGGGGAGGAGAGGTATAGGCACTGGGAGCCCACCCCTGGCCCTGCACGTTGCCCCCAGGCCCAGGCAGCCAGGAGGCCTGCATTGCAACCGTCCCTATCTCTGGCGCCCCCTGCAGGCTGAAGGCCCTGGGGGAAGGAAGCAAACAGTGGTCATCCAGTGCCCCCAACCTGGGCAAATCCCCCAAACACACACCGATCGCCCCAGGCTTCGCCAGCCTCAATGAGATGGGTAAGAGGGTGAGGGTGCCTTTAAAATGGAGAGGGAGGGGCATCCGGAGGGAAACAGAACTCAAGACGAAGAGGTGACCATCCCCCCCCCTCCCCCGCACTGGGAGGAGGAATCGATTTCACTGGACCAGTGGGTAGGAAACATTCCCAAAATGGGGGAAGGGCAGCCCCAGGGTGCAGGGTCATTCCTAGAGGCTTTGGGAGGAGAATGATTTGAGAA